AAGCCATGAAGTCCTGCTAAGACATTATTACATTTTAGTCATTTAGCAGAAAAATTCTAAAAAATTAATTACGGAAAAGTGGTGCGTGTATATGTATTCACCCCCTTTGCTATGAAGCCCCTAAATAAGACCTGGTGCAACCAATTACCTTCAGAAGTCACATAATTAGTTAAATAAAGTCCACATGTGTGCAATCTAAGTGTCACGTGATCTGTCACATGATCTCAGTATATATACACCTGTTCTGAAAGGCCCCAGAGTCTGCAACACCACTAAGCAAGGGGCACCACCAAGCAAGCGGCACCATGAAGACCAAGGAGCTCCCCAAACAGGTCAGGGACAAAGTTGTGGAGAAGTACAGATCAGGGTTGGGTTCAAAAAAAATATCAGAAACTCTGAACATCCCACGGAGCACCATTAAATCCATTATTAAAAAATTGAAAGAATATGGCACCACAACAAACCTGACAAGAGAGGGCCACCTACCAAAATTAATGGACCAGGCAAGGAGGGCATTAATCAGAGTGGCAACAAAGAGACCAAAGATAACCCTGAAGGAGCCGCAAAGCTCCACAGCGGAGATTGGAGTATCTGTCCATAGGACCACTTTAAGCCGTACTCTCCACAGAGCTGGGCTTTACGGAAGAGTGGCCAGAAAAAAAACATTGCTTAAAGAAAGAAATAAGCAAACACGTTTGGTGTTCGCCAAAAGGCATGTGGGAGACTCCCCCAAACATATGGAAGAAGGTACTCTGGTCAGATGAGACTAAAATTGAGCTTTTTGGCCATTAAGGAAAGCGCTATGTCTGGCGCAAACCCAACACCTCTCATCACCCCGAGAACACCATCCCCACAGTGAATCATGGTGGTGGCAGCATCATGCTGTGGGGATGTTTTTCATCGGCAGGGACTGGGAAACTGGTCAGAATTGAAGGAATGATGGATGGCGCTAAATTCTTGAGGAAAACCTGTTTGAGTCTTCCAGAGATTTGAGACTGGGACGGAGGTTCACCTTCCAGCAGGACAATGACACTAAGCATACTGCTAAAGCAACACTTGAGTGGTTTAAGGGGAAATATTTAAATGTCTTGGAATGGCCTAGTCAAAGCCCAGACCTCAATCCAATTGAGAATCTGTGGTATGACTTAAAGATTGCTGTACACCAGCGGAACCCATCCAACTTGAAGGAGCTGGAGCAGTTTTGCCTTGTAGAATGGGCAAAATTCCCAGTGGCTAGATGTGCCAAGCTTATAGAGACATACCGCAAGAGACTTGCAGCTGTAATTGCTGCAAAAGGTGGCTCTACAAAGTATTGACTTTGGGAGGGTGAATAGTTATGCACGCTCAAGTTCTGTTTATTTGTCTTATTTCTTGTTTGTTTCACAATAAAAAATATTTTTTACATCTTCAAAGTGTAAATCAAGTGATACAAACCCCCCAATCAATTTTAATTCCAGGTTGTAAGGCAACAAAATAGGAAAAATGCCAAGGGGGGTGAATACTTTCGCAAGCCACTGTACAGGGACTATACTGGACTATACAGATTCAACAAGTTTTATTGAACAAATACATGAACAAGAGTTAAGCATTCCAACTTGAAACAAAGATATCAATGTAAGACTTTTGTGAGCAAATTGACCTGTCACACCATAACTGTAAGACATCCAGACATGAGCTAATTCTAGTCTCCTCTCTCTCTCTCATTTGGTTTGACCTTTTCACCGTGTAGTCTCAAGTGTTTCCTCCCTCCCTCCCTCCCTCCCTCCCTCCCTCCCTCCCTCCCTCCCTCCCTCCCTCCCTCCCTCCCTCCCTCCCTCCCTCCCTCCCCTCTCTAGTCAGTACAGTGGTGATTCACTCTCTTTCTCTCTTTCCCCTCCTCGTTCCAGGCAGTTTACATCCAACACATCTCCAGGTAAAAGGCAGTGAAAGCTCACGTGGTCTCATCAGTAGTAATCTAAGAGAGGTGATTACAGTTCACTGCTTCAGCTGAGAACCCCCCCGTACCTCTACAAACCACTGAGGAGGTGTTCTTATGGTGCGCCCCTGTCACACTGTGAAGCGGGAATGGGACCATTCGCCTATTTAAAAGGCAATCTAAACAGAGAATATATGCTGAGCTGGAACTTTCCACGCGTCATTAATAGGTATGGTAGCGCTCAAGGAGCAGAGGATATGAAAAGAAAGGGAGCAGGAGGTCCCGGGCGCTGACGGTTATGTTAAAGTTCACTCTTTTACTCTCCTTCCTTCCTCTCCAGCTAGGGAGTAGGAGGAGTTGCCACTTGATGCTGATCTAAGGCCAGTTTTGAGTTTTCCTCTCCCTCAAGGTTAGGATAAACTGAGGGAAAGTTGGGTAAGTTTTCCTGTAACAGCAATGGTCTTCTTAGGCAGCAGGACATAGGCTTGTAATTATTCTGAAATGACATTACATTTACATTTACATCTTAGTCATTTAGCAGACGCTCTTATCCAGAGCGACTTACAGTTAGTGAATACATATATATATATATATATTTTTTATACTGGCCCCCCGTGGGAAGCGAACCCACAACCCTGGCGTTGCAAACGCCATGCTCTATCAACTGAGCTACATCCCTGCCGGCCATTCCCTCCCCTACCCTGGACGACACTGGGCCAATTGTGCGCCGCCCATGAGTCTCCCGGTCGCGGCCGGCTGCGACAGAGCCTGGATACATTCTTCTCTGCAGCTAAAAAGCCAGGCACCAAATACCAACCACAGACATCAAAATGAGAACTGAATAATACAGCCCAAATAGCAACACATTGAAACATAGTAATCGAAGTAATTCTGGATTAAAGTATTAGATGATCAACTGTCTCCATTTATTGTAATAAGCACTCCATAGAACACCATGTAGAAGTCCATTCATACCTTCATGATTCCATTCCAGTTGTCCCCAGTGGAGACCTGGAACAGGGTGAGGAAGGCCATGCCAAAGTTCTCAAAGGTAGCATGGCGGCTCATCCCCTCACACGGGTAGTCCTCGTTACACACTGGGAGAGGAGAGTAGGGAGGGAGGGATGGGGGGAGGGAGGGAGGGATGGGGGGAGGGATGGGGAGGAGGGAGGGAGGGATGGAGGGACGGGGATGTAGGGGAGAGGGAAAGAGAAGGGGAGAGAGAAACAAATAGAGAAAGATAGATACAGAGAGAGATAAAGATACATGAAGAGAAACAAACAGTTTATATAGAGAACATTTATCTGTTCAGTCCTCTTAGAAACCAACAACCAACAACAGCAGACGTTTTTGTTTGCTCGTGGTCTTTAAGCTGTCTTGGCTGATTGTTTACCCATCTCTCTCCTTAGTACAGTTGCATTTGGCTCTAATCCTTTGCTGAAGACTGATGGGATGAGAGATAACCTCCAGCAGACATGACTAGAGTACATAGAGAGAGTGTGACAGTTTGAAGACAGGCCTAGCTGCTGTGTTATTGTTTCTCCTGCCTAGTCTCCATGATACTTCTTAGCTCTGGCTGCGTCCAGATACTTTACTAGAAGTTCCTTTCTATTTTTGTCTTGGCTCTCTGTCTGTAATCTAACAGGATTGGATATGTACAACTCTGAACGTGGCGCGCCATTGGGGATGCAGGGTTTTGTTCCAGCCCATCACTACCAACTCACCCAGTTCTCCAAACAGCTCCACCCCCAGTGCTGCATAGATGAAGAACAGGAGCATGAAGAGCAGGCCCAGGTTCCCCACCTGAAACACACATAGGAACTGTGTTAGGAACTGTTTCTGCTCTACACATTCTCTTCGTAATGAACCTTTATTTTGACTGGGAGTCATGCTGAGCCCAAGGTCTCTTTTACAGATGAGCCCTGTAATTACAAAAATATACACATCAAATACACCACGAAAAGCAAAACAAAGATACAAAACACAATCATAGAAAACAAAAAATGTGAATCTGAATTGACCTAGAGGCATCAAATCATATTTTTTTTATGCAAACGTTCTGAACATTGCATCCCACTGAAAGAACAGCGGGTGTTTTGGCCTTGCCTTTCACCAAGCAACAAAACCTATTGGTCCCAGCATCCATGTTGTGCCACAGTCTCTACCGTATCAGAATCCTCAATAGAAGCATAATTTGCTAGTTGTTCTGCCTTTTGCTTGGGCAGCCCTGCTACCATAAAGGTGTAGTGAAAGCTAGACATTTGGTGCACTACCAAAGCCTAAGTCCTACACCGTATCAGAATCCTCAAGAGGAGCCTGAGGAGGGAATTGGGAAAGTTGTCAGTGGCGTAACCTTACTCTGTTGTTGTGACTGTGTAGTTGGAAGCCACCCAGGACACACAGAAGTAGATCCCTCTCTGTCCCACGGGGGGCCAGTATAAAAAATTTATGCACTCACTAACTGTAAGTCGCTCTGGATAAGAGCGTCTGCTAAATGACTAAAATGTAAATGTAAATGTCTGCTGAATGGGACTGCATAATAGAAGTTATGTAGTAAATATGATCAGAAAACACTATCCCATTTGTGAGATGTAACCTTACAGAGTCAATGTCACAGCAGCCAGCACACGGCTCTTTCTGGGCCGGTCCCCTGGGGGAGGAGGCTCTACTAGCCTGATCTAGCCTGCTCTATCCAGATCTATCCAGATCTATCCAGATCTAGCCTGTTCTAGCCTCTAGCAGGCTGGCTCCAAACAAATTGCAAGATAAACAGTCACAGACGTGAAGCTGTTTTTCACAGATGAACACAACCCAGGTTTATTAAGATAGGAGTGTTAGTGAGGGTTAAAGACCAAGGTCGTGTTCAGTAGGTTCTGAACGTTTGGGAAACTTTTTGAAACTAACAAAGGAAAGTGAGTGTTCTTAGTGGACAAGTTCAGGTGGTAATACCTCCAATTCAAAAGATTTTCTCCCATTTGGGTCTACTGAGCATGCCCCAGGTCACCAATGTCTAAGTTATGTAGAAATGATGTAGTGACATAACAGTTCTATAAAAAATCTCTAAAGCACTTTAGATCCAGACTTTGTTTGTCATACTGTCAGTCTCAGTCTCTCATCAGACTGTCTCAGTATGATACCGAGTTCCCTTTGGGCCAGGACAAATGCAAGCTCTCCCCAGCTACCTGTGTCACAGTTGATTAGTGATGTATCTAACAGGGAGACCGTAGATCTTACACTACTGGGGATGATTTAAGCACTTCTCTGAAAATAGCACTATTCCATTTAGATCAGTTTAATGATCTGTGATTCTTAATGACGTGTTTATAAGGGGTGATCCAAGCAAGCAAGAGACAAACAAATGGGGAATTTATACCGGGTGAAACCTGGGTCAGTGCTAAGTGAGTCTTGAAGTTACTTTGATTTGTGCAGGTAGCTAAGAGCATGCTATGCTAGCCAGGATCCATTCACTTTTACTGTGTTTTGGTCCCTGATGCTAATGTTAGCTAGCGAATAGTGGCTGTGGCCATAGATGCAAACCCAGAAAAAAACTTTTACACATCAAGAAATCTATGTAGAATTACTGGGATAAACAAAAATTAGCTAACTGCAGTAGCTAAGAGAATTGTATAAGATGTCGCTGTGAGCACTCGTAATGAGCTTTTTGAAAGCAGAAATGGTGATATTCAAGCAGCGTTGCCTGAAGTTTATCATCCAGCCCCTGGAGGAGATAAAACAACTGGCTTTAGTGATGATGTGATGTGACTGAACCACACCATTACCAGCTAGTGAACAGCACATGGAAGCCATTTTAGCTCAGTGGGGGAGAAATGGGATAATGGTGGATTCTAGTTGGATAATGTGACTTTATGACTTTATTTTATCCTGTGTTAAGAGATGGCGTCGGTCGTAATGTGTTTGAGAGTGTTAGCTTCAGCTAGCTAGCTAACATCTGTCAGGGGCTTCTCCATGTAACACCATTACACTCAGTCTTGACAGTGTGTAACACTACCGTGGCAGGCGATTTTTCACCTCCTTCTCAAGATGTAACTATGGCAGACTCATTGTCTCCTCTCATCCCACACACACACAAACACACAAACACAAACACACACACACACACACACACACACACACACATTTAAGGATACAAACACACACACACACACTGACATACACCTCTTTAATCACTTTGGTGTTAATTACCTGCCTGATGCCCTTGGGGAGATCACCCAGGGCCCTGTGTTAATGAGAAAGGGATCGATAGCAGCGGAGGAGAGGAGATCTGTTCTGCCTTACCTCAGTCTTCCCTACACTCCTTCCTCCTCATCGCCTGTTCTCCCTGCCTGCTCTCTTTCACTCACTCTCTACCCCTCTCTCTCTCACACACTCTTCATTTCTCTCTTTCTCTGTGGGAATAGTGTGGTCTGGTCCAAACCTTATTAGGAAAAGGAGTCATGTCATTCTAACCCAACCAGATCTAATAACCACACTACATTTCTTAATGTAGTAGAGGTATAATATCAGTGTATCCCAGCCAGAAACAACCCCTAGCCACTTGTAGAGATCAGAAAGGATATGATAGGTGTATGCAATATGGTCAAACTCCATACAAGCATATTAGAGTGAAAGGTTGAGCTACTTCCATATTGCATGATAAACCTGTCAAATCCTTTCACATCTACAGTGAGGGGAAAAAGTATTTGATCCCCTGCTGATTTTGTACGTTTGCCCACTGACAAAGAAATGATCAGTCTATAATTTTAATGGTAGGTTTATTTGAACAGTGAGAGACAGAATAACAACAAAAAAATCCAGAAAAGCGCATGTCAAAAATGTTATAAATTGATTTGCATTTTAATGAGGGAAATAAGTATTTGACCCCCTCTCAATCAGAAAGATTTCTGGCTCCCAGGTGTCTTTTATACAGGTAACGAGCTGAGATTAGGAGCACACTCTTAAAGGGAGTGCTCCTAATCTCAGCGTGTTACCTGTATAAAAGACACCTGTCCACAGAAGCAATCAATCAATCAGATTCCAAACTCTCCACCATGGCCAAGACCAAAGAGCTTTCCAAGGATGTCAGGGACAAGATTGTAGACCTACACAAGGCTGGACTGGGCTACAAGTCCATCGCCAAGCAGCTTGGTGAGAAGGTGACTACAGTTGGTGCGATTATTCGCAAATGGAAGAAACACAAAATAACTGTCAATCTCCCTCGGCCTGGGGCTCCATGCAAGATATCACCTCGTGGAGTTGCAATGATCATGAGAACGGTGAGGAATCAGCCCAGAACTACACGGGAGGATCTTGTCAATGATCTCAAGGCAGCTGGGACCATAGTCACAAAGAAAATAATTGGTAACACACTACGCCGTGAAGGATTGAAATCCTGCAGCGCCCGCAAGGTCCCCCTGCTCAAGAAAGCACATATACATGCCCGTCTGAAGTTTGCCAATGAACATCTGAATGATTCAGAGGAGAACTGGGTGAAAGTGTTGTGGTCAGATGAGACCAAAATGGAGCTCTTTGGCATCAACTCAACTCGCCGTGTTTGGAGGAGGAGGAATGCTGCCTATGACCCCAAGAACACCATCCTCACCGTCAAACATGGAGGTGGAAACATTATGTTTTGGGGGTGTTTTTCTGCTAAGGGGACAGGACAACTTCACCGCATCAAAGGGACGATGGACGGGGCCATGTACCGTCAAATCTTGGGTGAGAACCTCCTTCTCTCAGCCAGGGCATTGGAAATGGGTCGTGGATGGGTATTCCAGCATGACAATGACCCAAAACACACGGCCAAGGCAACAAAGGAGTGGCTCAAGAAGAAGCACATTAAGGTCCTGGAGTGGCCTAGCCAGTCTCCAGACCTTAATCCCATAGAAAATCTGTGGAGGGAGCTGAAGATTTGAGTTGCCAAACATCAGCCTCGAAACCTTAATGACTTGGAGAAGATCTGCAAAGAGGAGTGGAACAAAATCCCTCCTGAGATTGGTGCAAACCTGGTGGCCAACTACAAGAAACGTCTGACCTCTGTGATTGCCAACAAGGGATTTGCCACCAAGTACTAAGTCATGTTTTGCAGAGGGGTCAAATACTTATTTCCCTCATTAAAATGCAAATCAATTAATAACATTTTTGACATGCGTTTTTCTGGAATTTTTTGTTGTTATTCTGTCTCTCACTGTTCAAATAAACCTAGCATTAAAATGATAGACTGATCATGTCTTTGTCAGTGGGCAAATGTACAAAATCAGCAGGGGATCAAATACTTTTTTCCCTCACTGTACATGAGGTGCCTAGGCAGTAGTGGTTAGGGCCTAGGGGTTGTTTCTAGACCAGGGTGGTATTCATAAAGTGTCTCAGAATAGGAGTACTGATGTAGGATCAGTTTATCCTTCTAGATCAGCACTCCTACTCTGACACTCTTTATGAATACAGTCTTTTCCCAGAGCACTCTCCATGGTCCTGAAAGCACACACTGTTCGCATTATGTGCAGAGATATAGCTACTGTTTGAAGATCATCATCATCTCATTTGATTGTTTGATTGTTTGCAGCTGCCATCATCTACATAATAATCCTTGGTAGTAGAATAGCTTGTTGAAAAACAGATAAAAATGCTTGTTAATTTTCTGTTCAGTTTCTCCCACTGAACATAATCATTCAATCAGCCCCTCTGTTCGTCCGCGCTCATCATAGCATAGGAGCTCTGTGTGTGTGTGTGTGTGTGTGTGTGTGTGTGTGTGTGTTTGTGTTTGTGTGTGTGCGCGTGTGCACATGTGCGTTTGTTTCTGTGTGTGTGTGTGTGCCAGTGTGGCCAGTCTGAGTCACCAATTAGCACTGCCCAGAGAGCTAGAGAGAGGCCACATATTCCTGGTCATTGATCTGCCTGGCCTGGCTGCAGTTTGGCTCTCCCTTTTCATACTGCCTCTCTCTCCCTCAGGCCTCAAATTTAGGATGGATTCCCAGGGCAGTGTGTGGGGGGAGGGGGGCTGTTTTGGGCTGTGTTGACTAAGAACTGCAGGCAGAGTGTCATAGCATTGGCTCATTCAACATTTGTCTGTGTGTGTGTGTGTGTGTGTGTTTGTTTGCACCTGTGGTAGGGCTTGGACCACCGTATCCAGCAGAGCTCTCATTCCTTTAGCCATCTTCAGCAGCTTCAGAACTGGGATGGAGAGAAGAGAGAGAGAGAGTGAGAGTGAGAGTGAGAGTGAGAGAGCGAGAGCGAGAGCGAGAGCGAGAGCGAGAGCGAGAGCGAGAGCGAGAGCGAGAGCGAGAGCGAGAGAGAGAGAGAGAGAGAGAGAGAGAGAGAGAGAGAGAGAGAGAGAGAGAGAGAGAGAGAGATAGATAGATAGATAGATAGATAGATAGATAGATAGATAGATAGATAGATATAAAGGTTATGATGAGGGCTGGGGAGAGGAGAACTGGAGGGGGAGATTATAAATGCTGGGCATTTAGGGAATTCCCTCCGGTTCAATTCTGGACTAAACGGGAAACATCCAGCCTCTGAAAGGTCACAGCTACATTTATACCCAGCACACACACTCTCACAGACACGTTCATACACACACACTATCACACTCTCTCATGGCTCTCTCACTGTCCCAACCATTAGTCATGAGCTGTAGCTTTGGTAGGATAATGATGAAGCAGTGATCCTATGTTGTACACTGGGTCTGTATGGGTCTGTACACTGGGTCTGTACACTGGGTCTGTACACTGGGTCTGTATGGGTCTGTACACTGGGTCTGTACGCTGGGTGTGCGCATGCTACCCATAGATTTCAGAGGGGGGTGAGCAGGAAAGGTGTTGTACTGTGTGTGTGTGTGTGTCTGCATGTGTGTGTCTGTCTGTCTGTCTGTGTGTGTGTGTGTGTGTGTATGTGTCCGTGTGTGTGTGTGTATGTGCCAGGGTGCATTCATGCGTGCATTACCTCGTGCGATCCTCAACACCCTCATGATGCGTATGATGGTAGGGTTGATGGGGAGAGAAGCGCTGTAGTCGATCTCTTCCAGAGTGATGCCCATCACTGACAGCAACACGATGGCCAGATCCAACTGGTTCCACCTACACACAGGGTCAGAGAGCAAAGGGTAGTCACACTGGAAGTCATGTTCCATCAGGGTCATTCATGTACTGTACAGGTACTGGCTTGTGTGTGTGTGTGCGCGCGCATGTGTGTGTTGTGTGTGTTTGTGTGTGTGTGTGTGTGGTGCGTGTATATGTGTGTGTGTGTACCCAGTAACCCAGTCTGTTTCCACCTGCCTGCTTCTCCACTATGACCCAGTTTAAGACACGCTGAGAAAACTCAGATCCCTAAATCTGATTATGCAGAGAGACTGTCCTGCCAGACAGCACTGATGTCACAGAAAAGAGACAAGGTGCTGCCCAATCACACTAACATACATCTCTCTCTCTCTCTCTCTCTCTCTTCCAACCCCCCTCTCTCTATTCTACCCCCTCTATCTCTCATACCCCCCCCCTCCCTCTTTCTCTGCCTCCATCATAGAAAAATGGGTCAATACCATTAAAGCACCAGGTAAATGTTTGTGTTATGTTCGCATCAACATCTTCAAAGTGTATGTGTTGTCAACAGCAGCAGCAGTTCAGCACCAGCCATTACTGAGTCAATGAAATGAATGGATATCCAACATCGACCACAATCTATCTGCTTCATCACTAACCCATTATGTTGAATGGGAAAACAATTAGAGAAAGAGAATGAGTAGGAATGGCTCTGGTGATGCTCTCGTGATGTATCTGTGAGTGGGTTGATCTGAGTCCTGTTAACAGTAATGTGGGTGTAATTAAATTAATAACAGTAATAATAGAATGGGAGAAATCACTGCTCCACCATATTGCTCACAGTGTGGGTGAGATATTGGACTGTATGGAGGCAGAGAGATTCTTCTGTGATTTCTCTGTTTCCTGATTGAGACCATGGGTCAGGAATGGGCCAGAGATGAGGATAGAGGAGTGTACTAACTATAGCTCTTCTGCATCTGAAGAAATGGACAATGATACATCTACACACAGTGCAAGACTAGCAGATTAGCATCATGAATATTGTTCGGGAGGCAGCTCTGCAGAGTGGTCACTAGCTGGCACAGCCTTTAAACCTAATCTTAACCCTGACCTTTAAACCTAACCTTAACCCTAACTACCAACAGTACAGCTAACACTATGAACCATACAGTGAGATGACACACACAGTGTCCCCAGTGTAGCGTATAGGATTAATTCAGTCCACTCACTAGTACCTGTCTTTTAGTATAGAGAGAGCATCCTAGTTATATTACGGCTATGGCATTACTACTATGAATCACACAGAGTGAGAAACACACACAGTGTCCCCAGTGTAGCAGTGTGTATAGTGTTTATTCAGTAGATCAGTAGTATCTGTCTTTGACTATACATAGAGTATCCCAGGTATAGTTCAGCTATAGTAAAGCTATGACACAACCAGGAAGTACCATTGAAGTCAGAATAACTCTTTTCTAATGGAGTGGTGGTTAAGAAGGGCAGCTCTGAATCATATACTGTGTATGAATCATACACAGTGAGATGACTGACACACACACACACACACACACACACACACACACACACACACACACACACACACACACACACACACACACACACACACAGTGTGTCCCCAGTGCAGCAGTGAATACAGTGTTCATTCAGTAAGTCAGTGTGGCCCTGTAACTACCTGTCTTTAAAGAAGCGTCGGAAGCCGAAGGCGGTGAGTTTCAGGAGGGTCTCCAGTACAAAGGTGGACGTGAAGAAATAGTTACAGTACTTCAACACTAGATCCAGAGACTGAGAGAGAGAGAGAGAGAGAGGGAAGGAGGTGGGAGGGAGGAGGAGAGAGAGAAGGAGGGGGGAGGGAGGGTAGAGAGAGAAGGGAGGTGGGAGGGAGGGGGGCGGGAGGAGAAGAGAAAGAGGTGAGAGAAATGGAGGGACAAGGTTGGGGGAAGGGAGCTGAGAGGGAGAGAGAGAGATGGGGGGGTAGGAGGGTGGGGAGGAGGAGAGAGGAGGGGGAGGGAGGGGGGGAGGGAAGAGATAAGGATGTTGGGAGGGGGGGCGAGAGAGGAGGATGGGGGGGGCGGGGGAAAGGAGGCGGAGGAGGAGGCGGGAGGAGACGAGAAGGATGTGGGAGGGAGGGGGGAGGGAGGACGGAGGGAGGTGGGGAGGGAGGGGGGAGAGAGAGAAGGAGGTGGGAGGGAGGGGGAGAGAGAGAAGGAGTGGGAGGGAGGGGGAGAGGGATGGGAGGGGTGGGGGGGAGCGAGGAGAGGGTGGGAGGGGGGGGAGGCGAGGGGGGTTGGGGAGGGGCGAGGAGTCGGTGGGAGGGGGGTGAGAGAGCGGATGTGGGGGGAGGGTGAGGAGAGAGAAGGTGGGATAGGAGCGGGAGAGAGCAAGAAGCGTGGGGTGGGGGGGTAGAAGGGGTGGGCAGGGAGGGAGGGATGTTGAAGGGGGTGGTGGGAGGGGGGGAGAGAAAGGGTGGGAGGGGGGCGGCAGGACCAGAAGGATGTGGGGACGGAGGGGGGGGACGAGAGGTGGGAGGGGGAGAAAGAGGTGGGAGGAGAGGGAACGGGTGGACGGAGGAGGAGATAGAGAGAGAAGGAGTGTGGAGGGAGGGAGTGGGAGAGAGAGAGAAAGGACTGGGGAAAGAGGTGGAGGGGGGGGCGAAAGAAAGAGGTGGGAGGGTAGGGGGAGAGAGAAGAGGGGAGGAGGTGGGGAGGAGAGGCAGGATGGGGAGGACGAACTGGGAAGACGAGGAGAGAGGGGCGTCACATATCGGTTACTGTTTCTACTGTTGTTGTTTGTATGGTAAATATACATGAAAAAACAAGCAGACTCTCTTTCTGTCACCCCCCACACACACCCCTCCCTCCAGTCTTACTCGTGGCTGGCTGTAGTGTTCCAGTGACATGGTGATGACGTTGATACAGATGATGAAGGTGATGAAGAGGTCCAGGTAGTAGGTGGTACACAGAGTGTGGATCCACAGGCGGAGGGAGCTGTAGCTGGCATAGTAGGGGATCTTCTGGGCGTCTGGTAAGGGGAGACAAATACAGGTCATAGTACTTAATACATAGTACTACTGTACACTATTCAAAAGCATTCCTGTGATGTCCTGCTGTCAAGAGTAATCCTCATAACCAATTCACACAATCATTGATGATCTATCTCTGGATGTTCTTCTCATATATCCCTGCCTCCATTTTTCCTTCCCTCCTTTCTTTGCATTCTGTTTTACTCCTGATCTGTTCCTCATCAACTCTAAGCAACTTACTTTGAGAGAAGACCTCTCTCCCGCTCTCTCCCTCCCTCCCTCTCTCTCTCTCCCTCCCTCCCTCCCTTACCCCTCCTCTTCTTCTCCATGCGTCTCCGTCGTTTATCCTCTCTCCTTTTAGCCTCTTCCACTTCCTGGTTCTGACGGCACTTGTGGAAGTTCTCCACCACCACGCCCACAAACATGTTGAGAACGAAGAAACTGACGATGAGGAGGAAAGAGATGAAGTAGAGGAGCATCCACGGACTGTTGTTGATCACTGGCTAGAGGAGAGAGGGAGAGAGGGAGAGATACATGGGGGAGGGGGGAGGGAGAGAGAGAGAGAGAGAGAGAGAGGGAGGGAGGGAGGGAGGGAGGGAAGGGAGAAGGGAGGGAGGGAGAAAGAGGGAGGGAGGGAGAAAGAGGGAGGGAGCGAGAGAGAGAGAGAGAGAGAGAGAGAGAGAGAGAGAGAGGAGAGAGAGAGAGAGAGAGAGAGAGAGAGAGAAGTAGAGGTGCATGTGAGTGTTTAGTCGAAGGAGGAGAGGGAGAGAAGGAGTTGAGTATGCTCTGATAGATCAGTCAGCCAATACAACTGAAAACAATAATACATCTATAGAAATATAATGGATAGACTTGATGATCACTATTAGACTAGTTACCTGTTGGTCCACCCCTACAGCGTCCAGGCCATGGTACATGATGTTGACCCAGCCGTCCTTCGAAGCCAGCACAAACAGGGACATCAGAGCCTGTGGTACAGAACACACACACACATATACACACACAGAACACACACACACATTCAGAAATGCAGACATACAGACAGATAAACAGAACACACATGAAAGACATGAAATATAAACACACGTGAACATATAGAGACAAAAACACACAGACATAACATCTGTTCAGTATTTCATACTGGCCCACTCCACCATGTCCATCAGTTTGACACCTCTTCTGAAATTGATACTGGGAGAAATCCTCACCTGTCCCAGGTTGTCAAAGTTGTACTTGTGATGGACCCATTTGTAGTTGGCCTGCAGACAGTCAGACTTGTTGGTGATGTTCTTGACGTCGGGGCCGAAGCAGTAGAAGAACTTCCCTTTGAACAGCTGTCAGGGAACAATGGAAACAATGGACAGAGCCACTTCAGATGTCTTGTTGTTGTTGGTGGTGTTCACATAGAAGTGGTTTCCTTCATATGTCATTATCAAAGGACAGACACACTTGATGGGAATAATAGGGAGGTGGTCATTACATAGATGGTCAAGCGAGAGGGAAGGAAGGAGAGAGAAAGATAGAGGAAGACAGATGGCAAATATTGATAAAGACAGAGAGGGGACAGGGACAGAGGGACAGACAAAAACAGAGGGAGAGGTAGAAGGTGAGGAAACAGAGATACAGAAATGCCAGGGTATATGTTGGAGGAGAAAGACAGGGTATATGTTGGAGAAGAAAGACAGGGTATATGTTGGAGGAGAAAGACAGGGTATATGTTAGAGGAGAAAGACAGGGTATATGTTAGAGGAGAAAGACGGTATATGTTGGAGGAGAAAGACAGGGTATATGTTAGAGGAGAAAGACAGGGTATATGTTAGAGGAGAAAGACAGGGTATATGTTGGAGGAGAAAGAAAGGGTATATGTTAGAGGAGAAAGACAGGGTATATGTTGGAGGAGAAAGACAGGGTATATGTTAGAGGAGAAAGAAGGGGTATATGTTGGAGGAGAAAGACAGGGTATATGTTAGAGGAGAAAGACGGTATATTTTGGAGGCAGGGGCGGTGTGTTCAATAGGGCGATATGGGCGACGCACTGCCAAACGGGAAAAGGAAGGGATTTTTTTTCTAATCAATTATATCACAGCAACAGTAGTTATCAGTGTTGTAATCTAGACGTCTGATCTGCCACAGTGCCACTAAATGTCCAATCAGGCTAAAGTCGTGCTTCAAATGGCCCCCCCCCCCTTTTGGGGCGATTTCAGTCAGGTTGAAAATCGCCCAGAAGTCTGTCATAGACTCCCATGTAAAATCTATTTTTTTCAAATATCAGAGCTTTCAATACAATCTCTATGGGTTTCTGAGGGCTTGCACTTACGCGCTTTCGTCATAAGTAACATAACCATGAACATAACTAAGAAAAGAGCGGGTAGCAGCGTCAATCAATTCACGTACTACTGTCAAGATGGCTAGCGTTCAGTGCAACTCGATTGTCTCTCTGAAAGAAGTTCCTTTTTGTCGGCGAACAAATCAAGATAAATTGGCAACGAAACAATTAGGACCTCCCAGACCAAATTTAATAATTCAACAGGTTTCTACTAAAGGGGGAAAGTCCTACACCCGAGGATTTTCCAAAAATTGGTACGAACGATAAACCTGGCTAGCAGGCTGCGATGTAGCTAATGCAGTCTTCTGCTACCCCCTGCTTACTCTTTCACCCTGAAGGCGGCACGGCAGACAGCACCGCTTGGACAGCGACTGGTGTGTAACGGACATGCACCATCTTTCAGGAAAGATTAAGAAACATGAGCTGTCAAAGACCCACATGGATAGCTGTTTGAGATTGTCTGCTTTGGGGAGAGTGAACATTCCCACTCAACTGGATGAGGGATACAGGCTAGCTGTCCGCCGCCACAACGATGAGGTTAGTGTTGATAATCACAAGTTTACTGGAGAACTGAAACTGACAAGGCTGACAAGATAGGACCCTTTTGTCCATTGTTATTGGATAGGAACAGAACCTATAACCAGCTCCTGACCTAAATAGATCTTAGCACAACATTTTACTCAACATATCATATTCCATATTCACTATAACAAATATATTTACTACGACATTAGCAAGAACCGCCACATCCTCAGCCGGCTAATCCAGTGTGTGAAGTTTTGCGGAGTGTTTGAGTTAGCTTTGCGAGGCAAAGATGAAACTGAGGGCTCCACCAACCCTGGTAAGCCAACACTTTTGAGATCAGTCAATAAATGCTTCTGGTATTGACTTATATGCTGCCCCTGTCTTCATGTTGTTGCTGGACATATCTTTTTTAAAATGTGTGTAGGTCACCTAAATCATCAGAAAAATTGCCCCCCCTGAGAATTTTTTCAGGAGCCGCCACTGGTTGGAGGAGAAAGACAGGGTATATGTTGGAGGAGAAAGACAGGGTATATGTTAGAGGAGAAAGACAGGGTATATGTTGGAGGAGAAAGACAGGGTATATGTTGGAGGAGAAAGACAGGGAAAGTGAAAGCTTGATAAAATGATAGAGGAAAACAGAGATAGAAAACAAGACACAGAGCAAGAAAGATTGAGAGACAAGTACTCAAATGATAACAGCCCCTACCTGCACCCCCAGGATACCAAATATGATGAAGAAAGCACAGCAGATAAGGACAATGTTTCCTATAGGTTTCAGAGATGTTATCAGAGTCTCCACTACCAGCTTCAGACCTGGGGCTCGACTGATCACCCTGTAGAAAGAGAAACAGAGAGAGAGAGAGAGAGAGGAGAGAGAGAGCGGGAGAGGGATAGAGAGAGATAGATGAAGGGAGAGAGAGAGGGGGAGGGAATGAAGAGAGAAAGAGAGAGAGAGAGAGAGAGATGGAGGGAAAGAGAGAGAGGAAGGGAGAGATATGGAGGGTTAGAGAGAGAGAGTGATGGAGAGAGAGGGAGAGGTAGAGAGAGAGAGGGAGAGAGATGGAAGATTAGAGAGAGGGAGAGTGAGAGAGCGAGAGAGAGGGAGAGAGAGAGAGAGGGATGCAGAGTTAGTAAGAGGAGTGCTTCCCAAAATACAGTATTTGCAGCTGACTCAGAGAGGGTGTATATAAATCTATATTTCAAAGGTGACATTTTTCTGGTCTTTCAGGTATAAGGGAAAGTGAACTCCAGAAAGAGTAGCCGCTGCATGAGCAACAGCTAATGGGGATCCTAATAAACTAAACTGACCCCAAATCACCAAAGAAACAATACTGCACAACTAGTCTGCTTTCACCACTATGGGACAAGGACATTATGTGAACCCCCCTGTAGTGTGTCCTCCCTACCTGAGGGGGCGCAGTGTGTGTCTGAAGTATGTCCTCCCTACCTGAAGGGGTGCAGTGTGTGTCTGTAGTATGTCCTCCCTACCTGAGGGGGCGCAGTGTGCGGAGTAATCTGAGAACCCTCAGCACCCCCAGGATTTTAGCCCCGCCCGCCATGGACACCACAATGTCAATCAACGACACAAAGACCAGGAAGCCGTCCAACACGTTCCAGCTGCTTTTCAGATATGCCTGTTCCCCTATATACAGGCCCATAGACACCACCTATAGAGAGGTGGGAGGGAGATATGGAGAGGGGCGAGAGAGGGGGAGGTAGAGGGGGAGAGAGAGGGAGAGGGAGATAGGTTGTGAGTGAGGTATGTTATCAACAGGTACACCAGGTCACCTATATACAATCCCATAGTATTTAAATAATTGAAATTACCAGCATTACATTGAATAAAGTTGGTACAATTACAGAAATGTTTTTGTTGCAAAAGAGAGCAAGAGTCATGAATCATGTCAATGAGAGAGTTGTGCTAAAGTTCATGTATTCCCCTGCACACATATCTCAGGTTAGGAGACTGGTCCCAGAATGACTAGAGAGGTCTCAGACACATTACATGGTGCATGAGAAATGGAGATAATGAGAGATACGGAGAAGAGAGAGAGAGAGAGAGAGAGAGAGAGAGGAGAGGGGGAGAGGGCGAGAGAAGGAGAGAGAAGGAGTGAGAAAGGGAGAGGGAGATAGGAGTGAGAGAGAGAGAGGGAGAGCGAAGGAGAGAGAGAGAGAAGAGAGAGAGAGAGAGAGAGAGAGAGAGAGAGAAGGTGTGAGTTGTCAGCAGCTGCAGGTCACAGGAGTCTTTGTGTTGAAATCTATAGACACTAACAAGACGTGTGACAGAAAGTGACTCACACACACTATAGAACCGCCTCGAGGATAACTATACACACACACACACGTACAAGCACAGACGCAAACACGCACACACATAAAAAACACACACACAAAAGCACGCACACAAACATACACACACTTGCTCACCTGGATCATGAAATGGGCTACATCTCTGTGACACACACATCCACACCTGTTCACACACACATTTGCTCATACTAGCTAGAGCCCGCTGGCAGACACTGATATTAACTGTCACAGTCACACTGGCTGCTGCTTGCACTGGGAACTATTTATATATACACACACACACACACACACGCACGCACACACACACACACACACGCTAGCTACTAGCACAAGGAACTTTCCATCACACACAAACAAACAGAGTTAACAGGGCATCTGACAGAGTTATACAGTACAAACTGCAGGTAGACACAGTAGGCTCTCTGACACAGAGTTGGACTAATGATGCAACACCGTGCCCTTGGGTTGTACAGAGTTGGTGGAACATCATTTGACACACCATGCCACCATCCAGGTCCCCATGACTTTCTTCTGTGATTCTTGCTACAAACACACCACTATGTATCATGGATGCCAAGCTGTGCCATATGGGTATAGTTAGATTGAGTGGTACATATTGGATGTGTGTGTACATTCAAGGGCAGCGGCTTCAGGAGATTGCAAGGCAGCAATGTGAATGAGTGGTTACGAGGACATTGGATAAAAAATGCCCATGATTTAAAGATATAATTGAAGGAACACAGTCAGAGAAGAAATCCAATGCATATTATTAACATGATTATTATTATTATCATTATAGGCTCTGACTGACTGGCATTGAAGCCAAATTATCACTTAGCATGAGACTGACGAGAGTACAAAAGACTGCTGCGTATATACGGTACTGTATGACCATAATGATAATCTAATATAATGATCCTACTGCCTAGCCCTAGACCGTACATTTAAGCCTATTGACTCTAATGCCTATGCTCCTGAGACCCAGCAATTCATTTTGGTCCTCTCTAATGGACATTCGTTTTTTGGACGTATCTCTAAGGCTATACATGCCACTGTGTTACAGTGGGGAGAACAAGTATTTGATACACTGCCGATTTTGCAGGTTTTCCTACTTACAAAGCATGTAGAGGTCTGTAATTTTTATCATAGGTACACTTCAACTGTGAGAGACGGAATCTAAAACAAAAATCCAGAAAATCACATTGTATGATTTTTAAGTAATTAATTTGCATTTTATTGCATGACATAAGTATTTGATCACCTACCAACCAGTAAGAATTCCGGCTTTCACAGACCTGTTAGTTTTTCTTTAAGAAGCCCTCCTGTTCTCCACTCATTACCTGTATTAACTGCACCTGTTTTAACTTGTTACCTGTATAAAAGACACCTGTCCACACACTCAATCAAACATACTCCAACCTCTCCACAATGGCCAAGACCAGAGAGCTGTGTAAGGACATCAGGGATAAAATTGTAGACCTGCGCAAGGCTGGGATGGGCTACAGGACAATAGGCAAGCAGCTTGGTGAGAAGGCAACAACTGTTGGCGCAATTATTAGAAAATGGAAGAAGTTCAAGATGACGGTCAATCACCCTCGGTCTGGGGCTCCATGCAAGATTTCAACTCGTGGGGCATCAATGATCATGAGGAAGGTGAGGGATCAGCCCAGAACTACACGGCAGGACCTGGTCAATGACCTGAAGAGAGCTGGGACCACAGTCTCAAAGAAAACCATTAGTAACACACTACGCCGTCATGGATTAAAATCCTGCAGCGCATGCAAGGTCCCCCTGCTCAAGCCACCGCATGTCCAGGCCCGTCTGAAGTTTGCCAATGACCATCTGGATGATCCAGAGGAGGAATGGGAGAAGGTAATATGGTCTGATGAGACAAAAATAGCTTTTTGGTCTAAACTCCACTCGCCGTGTTTGGACGAAGAAGAAGGATGAGTACAACCCCAAGAACACCATCCCAACCGTGAAGCATGGAGTTGGAAACATCATTCTTTGGGGATGCTTTTCTGCAAAGGGGACAGGACGACTGCACCATATTGAGGGGAGGATGGATGGGGCCATGTATCGCGAGATCTTGGCCAACAACCTCCTTCCCTCAGTAAGAGCATTGAAGATGGGTCGTGGCTGGGTCTTCCAGCATGACAACGACCCGAAACACACAGCCAGGGCAACTAAGGAGTGGCTCCGTAAGAAGCATCTCAAGGTCCTGGAGTGGCCTAGCCAGTCTCCAGACCTGTACCCAATAGAAAATCTTTGGAGGGAGCTGAAAGTCCGTATTGCCCAAGCGACAGCCCCGAAACCTGAAGGATCTGGAGAAGGTCTGTATGGAGGAGTGGGCCAAAATCCCTGCTGCAGTGTGTGCAAACCTGGTCAAGACCTACAGGAAATGTATGATCTCTGTAATCGCAAACAAAGATTTCTGTACCAAATATTAAGTTCTGCTTTTCTGATGTACCAAATACTTATGTCATGCAATAAAATGCAAATTAATTACTTAAAAATCATACAATGTGATTTTCTGGATTTTTGATTTAGATTCCGTCTCTCACAGTTGAAGTGTACCTATGATAAAAATTACAGACCTCTACATGCTTTGTAAGTAGGAAAACCTGCAAAATCGGCAGTGTATCAAATACTCCCCACTGTAGGTCCTGTTGTACCTTTGAGGGGACATTCTGGGCTTTTCAATGAAATCACGTGTGGGGGTGTCACCTTGATAATGTTTTATTTCTGGTTCCTCAAAATGGTTACCATCACAATTACCACATTTTATGGTAATTATGTGTTATTGTGTAATTATAATTTTTGTGAGTTTGATATTCAAGTTGTTTCTAATAGGTAAATATCTCAGGAATTGTTTCTTTTTTTCACATTAAATAACAGCTAAATAATAGCTTGTTAATAAATGTCCTCTGTAGTGGACGTCAGGATGCTCTAACTATGTTTTTTACCTACTGTCCCAATTCACTGTAATGATACATTTTTCATATTTACTGTCATCCGAGTCCAACTGGCCAATACAATGCACATACAAAATACAAAAAAAAATTAACACAAATATTTGTTCTATTTTCTTTCACCCCAAAAATAAATACATTCCAAGATTTAGATTGTAGTTAGGTATTGTAGGTAGTTATCGTAGGTCATTGTAGTTATCGTAGGTTATTGTATGTAAGTATTGTAGGTAAGTATTGTATTCGACTGAGCCCAGTGAAGCACGAGGCTAGCTAACCCACTACCTGGACTAGCTAGCGGGTAGCTACTGGTAACTATTAGCAACTGTGGATAGTTGTTTCACGCTTGAGAGTACTTCAGCTGTTTTTCTAACCTCATTGTCTGAAGCGTTAACGTTAGGTAGTTAGTAGCTACTGTGCTCGAAATGTAGCTAGCTTGTTGCTACCTGGATAGCTACTAAACAATAGCTGGAACGACCTAGCGAACAGACGCGAACTGGCTGAGTCGATTCAGTGGCTAGCTTTGCACTAACAGTAGCTGCTAGGGGTAAGTTATAACATACATTTGTGTTTTGTTTTTACATACTGGTAACCAAAGTCGTTCAAAGAAATTCGGGACATGGGTGACTAGTTAACGTTAGCTTGGCTCTCTCTGTTTGTTCGTGCCGTGGGGGGAGGGGTTTTTTAGTTGGCAGAAAGCAATGGCTAGCTAGTATGCTAACTATTCTAGCTAACTAACTGGCCAAATAAGTTGACGATGGACTCGCTCAAGCTGTCGGGACTAACCGACAACATTAGACACGGACACGAATGATCTGCTTGGCGTGTTGACACACTGGTGGTTTGTTGTGACCGATTGGTGCTAAACCGTGTTGTTGGAGGCTGGCATGCTAGTTGGCTGTGACGTCATAGGATTCGGTGCCCTGGACGGTTTTCACAGAAGAATACTGTACCAAGTTAGCTAGCTGAATAAACTAAGTTAGTCTATTCCTAGAAAAACATTGAACCGCTGTAGTTTACAACAATTATAGTTTCTGAGGTGGAAGTTGGGAGAGTTATATTTGGGTGTTTCAGTGAAACGTAAGTGAGGGAGGCCCCGCTCTCTCGCTTTCCCAGATGTTTAGTTTCTTTCATTCCGATCTTCTTTGCATTATTGTAGCCATTTTCTGTAGCCTGTCAACTATGCGTCTGTCTATCCCTGTTCTCTCCTCTCCGCACAGGCTATACAAACGCCTCACACCGCGTGGCTGCTGCCACTCTAACCTGGTGGTCCCTGCGCGCACGACCCACGTGGAGTTCCAGGTCTCCGGCAGCCTCTGGAACTGCCGTTCTGCGGCCAACAAGGCAGAAATCATCTCAGCCTATGCTACCCTCCAGTCCCTCGACTT